CCCCACCCCCTCCATGACCCCGCCCCTGCCCCACCTCTTCCCCTGAGGCCCTGGCCCCCAGCCAAGCCGGAAGGCAGGCCAGGGAGCCCAGGCCCCTCCACCTGCCTGGGCTGGGGGGACCCCCCGCCCCCGAGAGCAGTTCCCAGCCTCTGTCCCCGCCCAGGGCAGATGGAAGATCTGCAGCTCCCTACGCAGCTCTTACTCTGACCCAGTTCCGGCTTCCAGCCCGACCAGGGGCAGGCTTCAGCCAGGCCATGGTAAGAGCCTCCCAGGCAGCTGTGGGAAGCCGCAGACCCTCCATTTGCCCTGGGCAGGGGTTCCAGGGGGTGTGGACACAGGCCAGGGGCTGCTCTCGGGCCCCCCAACCCTGGGCAGGTGGAGGGTCCATGGCTCCCCACAGCTTCCCATGCTCCCCGGGCCATTTTTACCCAGGCCAAGCTCCAACTTCTGGCCTGGCTGTTGGGGGGCAGGGCCGGGCCTCGGGGCAGTGGGGAAGAGATGGGGAAGGGAACCAGGCCCGTGGTGAAAAGTGGGTGGGCTATGGCCGCTTGACCACCACCCCTTTCCATCGCCCCTGGAATACATTTTTAATTTGGTTTCTGAAACAAGCTTCTAAGGCTTAGATCCACGAAGGAACCTATTGCTCCACAATTGCCACCCAGGAGAATCCTCAACCAAAAGTCAAGCCCCGAGGCTCCCTATACAATGCAAGGGAAGAGTTAGGCTCCTGAAAAAGATTCACAGATGCCAGCATACTGAGTGGCAAGTCACTAAGATCTTAGGAAATGCTGAGGAGAGGGGCATGGCCTAACTCCTGTTCATCGAAAGCTAATTAGGCAATATCGATGCTAGGGATTCACAGCTGTGAAGCCTCTCCTGGAGTTAGGCGCCTACGCCAGGTAAGCAATTCCCCACAAAATACCAGAGAAAGAAAAAGTGAGAGCAATACCGCCAACCCCATTATAGCAAACAGCATAGTGGTTAGGGCATTCACCTGGAAGGTGGGAGACCTGTTTTCAAATCCCTACTCTGCTCAATTTGGTGCAGGAACTTGAACTTGAGTCTCCCATATCCCAGGAAGTGCTCTAAAAGTAGGGGTATGGAATCACCCTGCTCCTGGCTGTCTTTTCTGGTTTCCAGATTGGGCCATGATAAGAGGAAGAACAGCAGCATTCACTTGAGATATAACTCTAATGTTGTTCCTAACCCAAATCGTGCGCACACATGCAAGTCTCCAACGCAAGTCTCAACTCGAGTTAGCTCACCCATGGGGATGGGTGGGGGAGGATTGAAGGCCAAGTGCTACTGATGCTTGAACTAGTAATGCTATAGGGTCTTGGGTCCAGATTTTTAAAGGCATTATTCAGCTAAACATCACAGCACCTAAATACCTTTAAAAGTAAGTGCCTCGGCTAATCTACACTGCTAATACATACACGCTATGCTGCTTGAGTGACATTTTGCAGCATGACTGCTCTCACTCAAGCTCAGCTAACTCAACAGGAGTTAACTCATGGGTAGATAACTTGAACTAACACTGCAGTGCAGTCAAGCCCAAAGCCACTGAGACTTGCAAAAGTGACCTGCAACTGCTATAGAGCAGAAATGCAGTTTCCACTATTGTCTGCAATTTTACAAATAAAATCCTTTGTGCTTAATATTCAATTATATTATTCAGCATAAAAGCAATTTTTCTTAAAGTCTGAGCAAAATTCATTGAGCTGGTTTTGAATTATCCAAGTAAGAAAAATTGCAATTTCCCTATTTGTTCCAATCAGAAATTCTGTATTCATATAACTTTAAAAGTGTGAAATATCAGTTCAAAATTTGGCTGTAAATCTCAAGGTGACTTAAAAAGACAAATAAAATTTGAGGAAAACTGATTCAAAATTAAAATCATATCTGTTTAAAGTTGACCATGTTGTGCATGCACACCAGAATTTTAAGTGCATTCTTAAGTGAAGAAATAGTTAGTAATAGGGCTGTCAATTATTCACAGTTAACCCATACGATTAACTCAAAAAATTAACTGTGATTAATCGCAGTTTAAATTGCACTGTTAAACAATAGAATACCAAATTAAATTTATTAAATATTTTTGGATGTTTTTCTACATTTTCAAATATATTTATTTCAGTTACAACAGACTACCAAGTGTACACTGCTCACTTTATTTTTATTACAAATATTTGCACTGTAAAAATGATAAACAAAAGCAGTATTTTTCTATTCACCCTACGCAAGTACTGTAGTGCAATCTAGATTTTTTTTTGTTACATAACTGCTCTCAAAAACAAAATACAAAACTTTAGAGCCTACAAGTCCACTCAGTCCTACTTCTTGTTCAGCCAATCGCTAAAACAAACAAGTTTGTTTACATTTACAGGAGATAATGCTGCCCTCTTCTTATTTACAAGGTCACCAGAAGACATGGTACTTCGCATGGTACTTCTGTAACTGGAATTGTAAAGTATCTACGTGCCAGGTATGCTAAACATTTGTATGCTTCTTCATGCTTCGGCCATCATTCCAGAGGACATGCTTCCATGCTGATGACCCTCGTTAAAATAAATAATGCGTTAATTAAATTTGTGACTGAACTCCTTGGGGGAGAATTGTATGTCTCTGACTCTTTTTACCCGCATTCTGCCATGTATTTCATGTTATAGTAGTCTCAAATAATGACTCAGCACATTTATTCATTTTAAGAACACTTTTGCTACAGATCTGACAAAACGCAAAGAAGGTACTAATGTGACATTTCTAAAGATAGCTACAGCACTTGACCCAATGTTTAAGAATCTGAAGTGCCTTCCAAAACCTGAGACGGATGAGGTGTGGAGCATGCTTTCAGAAGTCTTAAAAGAGCAACACTCCGATACGGAAACTATAGAACACAAACCACCAAATCAACCTTCTGTTGGTGACATTTGACTCAGATGACAAAAATGAACATGTGTCAGTCCACATTGCTTTGGACTGTTATTGAGCAGAACCCGTCATCAGCACAGGTGCATGTCCTCTGGAATGGTGGTTGAAGCATGAAGGGACATCGGAATTTTTAGCGCATCTGGTATGTAAATAGCTCTACAACAGTGCCAGGTGAACACTAGTTTTCACTTTCAGGTGATGTTGTGAACAAGAAGCGGACAGCATTATCTCCTGCAAATGTAAACAAACTTGCTTGTCTGAGCGATTGGCTGAACGAGAAGTAGAACTGACTGGACTTGCACGCTCTTTTATTTTTGAATGTAGTTATTTTTTGTACATAATTCTACATTTGTAAGTTCAACTTTCATGATAAAGAGATTGCACTACAGTACTTGTATTAGGTGAATTGAAAAACATTCTTGTTTTTTTACAGTGCAAGTATTTGTAATCAAAAATAAATATAAAGTGAGCACTGTACACTTTGTATTCTGTGTTATAACTGAAATGGAATATATTTGAAAAATTGGAAAACATCCAAAAATATTTAAATAAATGGTATTCTAATTATTAACAGCACAATTAATCACAATGAATTTTTTGGTAGCGCAATTAATTTTTTTGATCGCTTGACAGCCCTAGTTATTAACATAACACGTATTAATAAGTCCAAACCTCCACAGCCCTGCCATGCCACCATTCCTAAACTACACATGGATTCCCCCCCCCCCCCCCCCCCCGGTAGAACAAAAAGAGGAAAATTCTAAAACAAACAACTCCATTAATACTAGATTAAATTGGGAAATGAAGCATTAAATTCAAGAAGTTATACAACCTAAGGTATCTTCTTCCATATTATCTTAGTCTCACTGCACATATGTGTTAGTGAAGGGTTCATGTAGCGTTCATGCACCTAGAAACAGTCAGGGCACACCCTGACTGTTGTGTAGGAGCAATGCACACATTGCTCTGTTCTGTCCAAGGACATGGACCATGAAAACATGGACCATCTGGGAAGCCAAAATAAGGACATCAGCCGTGGGAAGCTTCCTCGGCCGAAGCTCAAGGCCTGAGAATAAAGATTGTAGTAGATAGAGGCTAGTAAATAGGAATATTAATCAAAGTCATATTATTTCCTTTGTTGATGCCTTTTGCAGTCGGTTGGGGTATGTGATGCGCAGCGGGGGGGGGGGGGGAAGAGGAAATAAAAGAGGTGGAAAAGCTGACAGGGGCAATCCCATCAGCAGACCAGCCTGCTTGCTTGCCTAAAGCTGTGTCCTGTCTTGTATTGAACCGCCACACGTTAGTATATAGGCCTGTCTCTTAGCTTGGGATAAGATTTTGAGTTTGATTTTTAATATTTTTATATCCTTACTAATATGTGAACCAAAACACCATGTGTTGCTTCTGCCTAACCAGACGGCGTTTATAGCACAATGAGAAGAGATAAGGAAGAGAGTTTAAGTGTTGCTGGGTATGGTGGGAGCTTAATATACGAGCGTACACTTGAAGACTGCCTCGACTCCTATCTCAAGGCAAGGTCAAGAAACCAGTCTGGAAGGACAAGAGGGAATGTGGGGGGACGCATAAGAAATACTAAAAAGCCAGAGAAAAGGTGACCCTGGCCAATACATAGCCTCACTCCTTACCCTTCCCATGAGGGCAAAGGAGGTGGTACCAAAGCCCCCAGACTCACAATCCTCCAAAACGGAACATGACCATAAATTGTAAGGGATGGGACCAGGGGCGTGCACTACAGGTATAATTAAGCCTGCCAAGAAGAAGGAGGTGGGAAAAAAGGGGACAGGAAAGGTTCTGTGGCATACAGAGCTATGGATATGCTTGCTTGATTAACCCCAATAAACATCGCTTTGCCTGCACTTCAGACTTCAGGTCTTTTGCTTTCTGTCTGCATGACAAGAACCAAGGGAGGGGCAAAGGGAAATCCCTTAACATTATGATGTATTCTCAATTCCCTGTTTTCTTTGCTAAATGTCAATTTCAATGGTTTAACTGGGCAAAAGTAAAGACAACTTGGCCTGGTATTTTTATAATTTCAAACAAATGCTCACCTGGTGGAGGACCACCAAATTTTCTTTGTCCATTTTCTTGAACCATGCTGTAGCCAGTCTTTTCCATCAAAGCTAGTAAGGCAGCCTCATTCTGAGTACCAGTTCGGATTTTGCCACATCCATTTGTTACATCTGTATTTTCGTCGTGCATATTTGCAATATCTTCAACAAAACATTAAGATAAAATTTCATAATACATAATTCCAAAGTAACCCACGTACAATAGCTACTAAAAGCCAGAAAAGTAACAGCATAAGTTATTTTAACTTTACCTCATGAAATTCCTCCCTTGCAGAAACAAACTTTTTTGTTCTAAACTAGCATGTTATTATCATCCATATATTTTCTCGCAAATATAGTCCCATTTATTACAATAAAATTACGCATGAGACTACAGTACACATAGCAGTAATAATCTGTAGGATATAGCCTGAAATTTCTGTTTTACCTTGTTTACTCGCCAATGGAGTGTCACAGGGTGGCCAAGTGCAGCGCTTTCTGCCACAGTTTCCCCTAATGTCATTAATAAATTCACCAAGGCTTTATGTAGAAAACAATGCCCCTTCTGAGGGATCTAGTTTATTAACCTAAAACCCAATGAAAATTAAGTAAGCCTTCACCCCAGGATCTTAGAGTCAAGTATCAGTTTATCCATTCCCACCTGGGTCCACCATTCCCTTCCAACCCGGTTCGCAGCTCAGTACCTTTCCTGGAGTCAGGACTCCTGCCACTATGGAGAGCCAGAGGTCTGCCGAGATCTATTCACTGCAGCTCTTCTCTGGGGCAGCATATAGTTCCTGACAGGCTGAGCTTCCTGCTACTGTTTAGGAGTTTCCTATCCCTCATAGAACAGCTGCCAGGCCCTTGCTGCATTTACAAATCCCCGCAAATGCATGAAATAAGGACCCTTACATTTTTAGTAATACCATTCTGGATTACAAACAGCCTTACTTATATCCTTCATTAAATGCTGCTAAAAGTGATTTAGTTCACAACTAGGTGGTATTTCTGGGGCCTGGAAACTTGCAAGGGGGCCAGAGGGTGCAGTGTAAGAAGCAACATTGAGGCAAGGTCAGACTGGAGTCAGGACAGCCTCTGTTAAACCTCAAGATGCATGTTGCTGCCTCTGAACATTAATTACTACTCACTTTCTTCAAACATAGCTTATTTTGTAGCTATCAACAAGACTTTGAAAAAAGCGGGGTTAGTAATTCTATCATCAAATATTTCAAGCAATCATGTCATGGTACAACCTTAACTCAGTTTAGAAGGATTTAAACTACAGGACTTCAGAGTTTCCCTACAATATTTAAAACACGCTCAGTTCCAACTGATCTTTAAAGAAAAGTTCAACTTCAATTTAACAATCAATCAATTTTAAAAACACCCAAATGATTTTTTTAAAATTTCTATTTACAAACTAAGTTTGAGACTTTCACTACTATAATTTTAATGTCAGCAATGTTTAAAATGAGCAAACCAGTTCTGAAGCAGAGAAAGACACTATGCTTGCACAAGTGAACAAACATAAAAAACAAAATGTGCTCATGCTTAATATACAATTTTAAAATACTATCATAAAAGTAAAAAAAAAGTCATTTTTTCCTAAGCAAGCAAATGCCCTACTCCTCAAACAAAACTATTAGATAGATTAAGTAAATTAGATGAATATTTATTATACCTCACAATTTTAGGGAAAGCATTTTGTATGAAGAATATTTCCAGGAACAATATTTTTTTAAATAAAAATAAAGGAAAAGAGAATTACTTCAAAAACCACTAACATTAAGGCCCTGATTTCCAAAGCAGCCTCCACTTGGAAACCTTGTGTGTAGGGTACAAACTTACATGTATACATTTTTCAAGCAGAAAAACACTGCATGGGTAAATGTTAGGCTAACACCTACACAGACAGGTACGTTATTTTGCCTGTGTTAATTGAAATTAACACACACATCTGAAGGTATAAGTGTTTGAAAAAAGTAACCATAGAAACAAGGCTTCTATTTGAAAATACAAGCTTAAATACATATCACACATAACTAAAGACATTTTAATTCATTGGTCTATTTATTATTTTATTACTATTTATTATTGCTCACCCCATCCTCTCCTCCGTTCCTTTGCAATAAAATGGAGATTAAGACAGGCATGAGGGAAAAGAAAGAGGAATAATTCTGTCCCGGTAATTCCTGGATAGTGATGATGATGGTGGTGGTGGTGGTAAGGGTGACATGATTGCAGCTTGCCACACAGGCTAAGTTAGGGCTGGTCTATGCTGAAAATTTACATTGGCATAGCTCTGTCTATAGGGCTCTACACCCCTGACATAGTTAAGCCAGCCTAACCCCCAGCGTGGACGGTGCCAGGTTTACAGAAGAATTCTTCCATCAATTTAGCCACCCCACTGCCTCCCAGGGAGGTAGCTTATTTACAACAAAGGGAGAACCCCACTGGCAAGTGGCTGCGCTCAGGAGCTGTAGCTGTTTAGGTGTAGACATAGCCTGGGTTACTTTTACCGTGGTTGGCAGCGTGCAGGTCACGCGTGCCCAAAAGGAACAGTGGTCACTCAGCAGACCCTGGCTTGGCAGATGCACGTCTCGCTGCTGATGGGACACCACAGGGGACGATTAGATTTTCCTCTGCTTCACCCAGTCCAATCAAGCTGGCAGGAAGGGGGTGGGGATATCTGTGGAAACAACCGAGCACATCAAGACCTACGTGGTGGGGATGGGGCACGTTATATTTGATGCGGGGGGAGGGGCTGGTTGGCCGGGCACGGGGAGCTGTGGGATTGGGGTGGCTGTACACGGCGCTGGAGGCTGTGAGAAAGAGGCAGGGGAGGCGGACCAAGGCGCTGGTGCGGGGCAGAGGTGGCATGGGAGTAAGTCCCAGGGTGAGAAGGGTGGCACGGGAGAGGCTCCCCGGGTCTCTTGGTGCTGTCTCGGAGTCACTGGAGCAACAGTCACAGCGACGCGTTTCCAAACAGAGCCCTACGCCCGCTTCCCCCCACGGGGCTTCTGGGGCCGCACCCGCGCCGGGCTGTCAGCCGCCGCCCATCCCAGCGGCGCGGCAGGGACCTCAGGCTGAAGATACCCGGCCCCACCCGCCGAGGTGGGACCGTTACACAGAACGTTGAACAGCCCCCCTCCCGGGAGAGTTTTACCGCCAACGGCGACTCCCGGGACTGGGGAAGGGGAAATGGCAGCGCGAGCTCCTCGCGCCTCACCCGCCACCGCCCTTCTCGCGCGCGTGATATTCGGCGCCACCACCACGACCGACTTTCCCACTCTTCGGCGCGAGGCACCATCTAACGCCCCAGCGCCCCAATCAGCAGCCGCCCGAGTAGGCACCTGACAAAATTGACAGGCGCCGGCGACCAATCAGAACATGTCGAGAGCCGAGCAGGGCGGGGAAAGCTTTTAAAAACCTTGGAGGTTGAGGGTGGGTGTGCGACCAATTAAAAAGAGGGTATGAAGGAGCCAATGAGAGAGGTGCTACCATCTGAGTGCGGCTTTGAAAGAGAAGGGAGGGGGTGTGAAGTGCGCGTGGGCAGGCTTCTTATCTTGACGCTGAGAAAAGTCATAGCGTGTTTCTGAAGCCAGGCTGGAGGCCCAGCGTCCCATGTGAATCCCAGCCTGCTAGGGTACAGCATGTGCATCCCCAGGGCTGCAAATACAGCCAAAGTGAGGGGAAACCTCTGCAGTTTGTGGTTTTTGCTCAGCTTAGTGTGACTTCATTTTTACTAATGTATTGCAGCATAAATGGGGGGGCACGATGGAGTGTCTGGTAACTGTTGAGCTTTTCTGAAAATCAGACCATTGCTGAGTGAAAATGTCAAGTTGCAATCAGACTAAGATACATTTTCACAGGTTTTGATTTACAAATCCAATCTTAAACAGCCTTGCAAAAAGGTAGCACATCGAGCAGGTGCAAAGTTACCTGAAACAAAATTACAGAAACATTCACAAAAAGAATCAGTTTTATACAACTCTATTGGTACCAGTTAATAACCACTGAAAATTACAAAATAGGTGCATAGCAGGAGAGAGAAATTTAAAATTATTTTCTCTCTCCATTATATTAAATTAAATAATAGAGCTAGGCATCTCTTAAATGCCGCAGCAATGTAGCAATTGGAGGCCACATAATTTGTACACAGTACTTTCAGAACCACAACAAAATTCCTCAGGGGTCAGAGCATGGCTGCAGAACCATACCCATGTCATATACATTTGATGGGTATCCATCAGCTGCACCAAAAGTCTGTAAAGTTTGTTGGTTGTGGGCAGTTTAATTTGCTGTTACAAAGTATTGTGTACTTATTGCACCCAGATTGCACAGCAATGAGGGCATTAAAGAAAAAGCATATAACTTTTAACTCATTAAAGAAGTTCCCCATCTTTAATATTGAAATGCTTAATTTCATATTCCAGTGAATCAGAGAAATTATAACTCTAGTCCCTATAGTAACGTGCTTCAGTACTTCTAGTCTAATTTTAAATGGGTTCCAATTTCTAAGTCATTTCTAATTTGGCATGGTAGACAATTCAGCTCATCAGTTTGTTTTTTTTTAAAGAGATGGTTTGTTCCATTATTGTTATTAATAGAATAGTGCTTTAATGATATGTTTGACATTTAATACTTTTAACAGTAAAAGCTTAATAGTGTACCCAGTGATATCATTTTTCATGGAGTGTCACCACATTTTCAGTGCAGGGGCCTACAATCATTTTCACCTCATCCAAACTAGTCATGACATCTCTAACATGAGGAAATTGAGTGTATGTAATGTTAACAAGCCAGTGCCTTTTGGCAGCAACTCAGGCTTTCCACTGCCTTAAATCAGTTACTACCCAATAAGAAATTCCATTTTAGTTATTGCTATTTTACAGTATGCTAAGTATATTTCTTTTCTAACTTTAAAAAAAATCTGAGTGGGTTTCTCTGGATTCTGTGCATGTGAGATCTCATTGTGTGGGGCTGTACCAGACACTTCCGGAGTATTGCTGTCTGCCATTGTAGTGTACAGAAACTGAATAATATTTCTTTAAATAGTAAATGAATACTATCCAATTTCTATCCACAGCAGCCAATAGATTGCACAAATTTATTGTCAGCCTTCCTTTTATTTTATAAAATGGCTGGAATGAAAGAGAAAATCTAATTGGCTGAAAGCATGTTCCAAACCTATGTCATTATCTTGCAGTAAACACCGATGTCAAAACTATCCAACCTCTTCATCAAGAAGATTACTAAAACACATTTTTATTAAACAGTTTTAAACCTAGTTAATTTAAATCTTCTATGCACTTGTGTAAGCGTATCAAATAAACAGCAGTATGTGCATGAGAAGTGAGTTCCATCTCCATTCCTTCTCCTCTCTCTCCTTCCTTTTACCTTCTTCTCTGGCTCTTCCTTATTCTATTGTCCCTCCTCCTTCCTTCTCTTAGGTAACACTTGTTGGGAGTAGGTCTTTAAAAGAGAAGCTGCTGCCCTTGCTCCACTCAAGAGTTTGTCAGTAGTCAAGCTTCAAAGAACAAGTGATATAAGTAGAAGGGTAATTAAAAATCATGCCCACCTCTACTAAAACTGCCAACAAGTGTGACAATATCAGCTGTGATAACTGTTTTTTGACATAGACACATGTCCACTGGAACCAAACTGAGACCACCGAACTAATGCCAGGTTTAACTCTGCTGGTTTTGATGTACAACTACTTGGAGGACAGGAGAACAAGACCCTGATTGAGGAAATCATCATTAGTCAGCAAAACACTTAATCCTATGCTTAAGTGCTTTTCTGAATCAGGACTTAAGTACAGCTATGTTTTAATCTTTTTAGGCTTGATAAGCAAAGGCTTAAATAAAGAGGTGTAAAAGGGGCATTTTACAATAGAGTTACTTGCTCTTTACAAAATACATTTGGCATAAGTTCTAGCTAAAAAAGTATCTGGAATCACAAGTAAAATGTGCCATTTGCCTAGGGGCTATATCCTGCACCCATCAATATCAGTGGGCCCTAATTTACTATATGAATGTGGCAGATCTGTTCACAACTCTCACTGATCTGAAGCATGTAGAACAAGGGTAGAATATTGCATAGATCATTCCATTTATTCCCTTGGGTATATTTGAGATCTTTCCCCATTCATCTTACTTCTGTCAAGTGTGAAAGTTGCTTTTCCTTTCTTTGCCAGCTATTTTAACTAACTATAGTAAATAATTTTGTTCTGTTTTGTTTGGTTGGAATGTTAGCAAGTCTCATCACATATTTTCCTAGAGTAGACTATTATTACAGTTATAATACATTTTTATAGAAACATCAGTTTTTTTGTCAGAGTAAATTTTACTATGTCCCGGAGCTGGAAAAGCTGGTATGTAGCATTTCTGCACTCTGACAAGTTTGATGTGAAGGTAGGGCAAATAGTTTAAAAGGAAGCAGACATCCTTTGAAGTTTAGACAAAGGTCTCTACAGAACCTAGACCTAAAATGTAATCTATGTAATTGTAAATCTAATTATAGTAAACAGTCTAGAAAAAGCTTTCAATTCAGTCCATCAATACATTTTATTTTAGTTTCCATTTCATCAGGTAGCTGCAAATACTTGTTTAGTGGAATCATCCTATGTAAAGTTATACTGCCTCAAGGGTCTTTCTTTTTCAAGAGTGCAATTTACTCTTGTACAGTTTGCTTCTTTAAAAGAGTAGATTTTTTTCATTATGAGCTATGGAATTCTGATACTATTGAAGGAGTCATTAGAAGAAAACATTTTATATCACTTTCTTCCTCTTTTGATGTGATTACCTGTTCTCAGAGCGAGGAATACATCTGTGGAGAATAGGTCAGTAGACTCTGAATTTGTACATGTATATGTACAATAAATGTTAAACATAGATCTTGGGGAAAATTCTGCACATAGTTACACAAGCATCAATTCAGAGTAATTTCAATTAAGTAAATGTAATTACTCCAGATTTATGCCAATACACCTGAGTGCAGAATTTGCCCCTGTAACTTTTTTTATTTCAGCCGCAAGAAGGATTTTAAAAAGAAAACCATACATAAACAGATGTATAAAACTTTTAATAACGTGTTTGTGTTATTTCCCGCACTGCAGAGTCAAATTCGTCTCAGCATGGTAGACACCTACTACTTTGTATATTGGCCTGTGGATTAGAGCACCTATTGGTTATTGCCACCTTGTGTATCTGCCTCCAAAATCTTTTGCCCCTATGGCCAAGCAGTGCCCTCAGTCAATCAATAAGAAAAATCATTGTTTCGTTATGGTAGCTCATAGAAGTAAAGAAGCTGACTGGAAGTATTGGGAGGGTGGGGGAGAAAAAAGGAAAATGATGATAATATGAAACAGAAATGAAAGTCAAAAAATGGAAGGGAAGAAAAGGAAAAAGATGGCCTAAAGGACTAGGGAGGTAGAGAACAACTTTCTTTCGCTACTTCCTGTCAATTCTTTCACATTTTTATGGCCACAGAATACTTTCATTTCTATTGCTAATTATTTTTTAAAATCAGAAATGTTAAATGCAATTATGAATAAGGGTGATAGATGACATGTCCCCTGCATATCTGTACAGTGGTGATTAACACATTTGTTTGCTGCTTTAGTGTTTGTGAAAGGTATCAGACTGAGAGCCTTTGAGACCAAAGTCTTCTCTCCACAAA